ATGGCCTTCACTTTGAGATGTATTTTGTCAGATATAAGTATTGCTACCCAGCTTCTTTCCTTTCCATTGCGTGAAAGATATTTTTCCATCCCTTCACTTTCAGTCTGTGTGAGTCCCTTCTAATGAGGTGGGTCTCTTGTAGACAGCATTTCTTCCCCACCTCAGGGAAGTTTTCTGATATTATTTCTTCAAATAGGTTTTCTAATCCATGTTCATCTTTCTGTTGTTCTGGCACCCCTATTATTCGTATGTTGTTTCGTTTCATGTTGTCCCAAAGCTCCCTTAGGCTCTCCTCCGTCTTTTAATTTTTTTCTCCATTTGCCGTACAGTTTGAGTGTGTTTTGCTTCCTTGTCTTCTAATTCACTAATTCGGTCCTCCGCTTCTCCCAGTCTACTGTTGATACTTTCAATGGAGTTTTTTATTGAAGCTATGTCGCTCTTCATTTCTTCTTGGGACTTACTTAAGTTGTTGATTTTTTCATCTGTTTCTTCTAGCTTCTTGCATAAGTAGTTGAGTTTTTCATCTGTTTCTTCTTGCTTCTTGAACATCCGGTGCATGTACTCTAGGAACCTTATTCTGAATTCTTTTTCCGTCATGTTGCATATCTCTGTCTCACTTAGCTGCTTTTCTGGCGAGTTCTCCTTTTCTTTCCTTTGGGGGTTTCTTTGTCTACCCATGTTTGATCTCACTGACATGACTAGTTGTTGAGTCGTTCAGTGGCTGAACCCTGGGAGGCAGTGGCTGCTCCCTGGGTGGCAGTGGCTCTTCGGGCTGTGGTTGCTCCTTGGGCGGTTGTGGTAGCAGCGGCTCCTCTTTTGATAGCAGGGCCTCTGGTGGGTGCTGTTCACAGCTGTGGTGGCTCTTCTGGCTGGTGGAGGGAGGCTTCACACACAGCAACTGTTCCCAGGCAGAGCGTGTGGTGATCAGGAGGCCGCTGTTGCTTGAATCTGCCGAGTTTCTCACTGGCTTCAGGGGCATTTTTGTTTAGCTCAGTGGATAGAGCATCAGCCCTCAGACTGAAGGGTCCCGAGCTCGATTCCAGTCAATGGCATGTACCTCAGTTGTAAGTCATTTGTGCTGGGGTCCAATCCCAGCAGGTCCAGGGGTCCCCAAAGGTGTGGACGGAGTCGGCGAAGAAGGAATGACACGAAGACAGCCTTCAGTTGGTCAGCAGCCTAGTCAGGACCTATAGCCAGGATCTCCAGCCAAAGTTCTGGTCAGAGTTCTGGTTAGGAACTGATGAGGATCTCTTATTCAGTAACTTTCATTGCTCGTCGAGAATTCTGTCTTTTTACTTAAGGAATAACAGTGGACCAAAATTGCATTTGTATTTAGAAGTTTAAAAAAATCACATTTTAACTGGATGTGCTTCCTTTTCTAAAGCACAAGAAATGAAATGATAGCATCAGCATCACATGTGCAGTTTTTCTGCAGTGCACTGTGGATTTCCATGGCAGGCCATTTGCATTCTTCCCTGGACACCCATCCCCATTCCCACATGTTAACCAAACTCATATGCCAAAAAAAAAAAATCATCTTCAAAGATCTCTCCCATTCCTCAGAGCAACAGGACTTTGGATGGGATTAGTTGCTTGATCATTAATTTTTTCACCACTGCTGGAAACTGGAAGTCCAGGGGTGGCAGAGAGGCGCCCCCGAGGGAAACTGTCCCTCCCTTTGCACATGGAGCTGAGGTGGGGAGTGGGGGGGGGTGAGCCCCCACCATTCTCGCAGCTGCAGGTCCCGCAGTTGGGAGTGAGGGCGGGGCTGCCCCTGAGGACCACAGTCCTGCCTGCAGATGGCTGGCTTGGGTCCTTGGGTCCCTTTGAAGCCCTGGTTCCCTGAAAGTCTCATGCTTATGTGGTCACCCTGAATCAGCAGACCCGGAACAATCACTTCCAACATTTCCTGTTCATATACGAAGCAGAGAGCACTTAAAAACACCGATGCTGGCAGTGTCTCACTCTTCCATTTGTGATATCAGCAACCCAGACACTCTGGAGGGTGGGGGTCCATTCCCCTCAAACTGTGTGATTGTAAGCACAAACTAACAATTTACAAACCTGTAAACCTAATGTTATGACAAATGAGTAACTTCATTCTAGTTTAAAATTTAGACTAACACAAAAGTGTGTTTATAGCATACCGAATTCTTCCCCTTGGTCTTTTATGTATTTATTTATTTAATATATTTCTTATTGTTGATAGTATTACAGATATCTTCTGTCCCCCTCCTTTGCCCCCCCTCCTCCTAGCCCCTACCTATCCCCCAGGTCTTCACTACGCCAATTGGCCAGTGGTCGCATGGGCTATGCATATCGCTATATAATAAAAAGGTGAATATGCAAATCAACCAACAGCAGAAGGACCGGTCGCTATGATGTTCACTGACCACCAGGGGACAGATGAGCAATGCAGGAGCTGCCCCTGGTGGTCAGTGCACTCCGACGGGGGGGCGGGGAGGGGGCGCTGCTCAGCCAGAAGCCGGGCTCATGGCTGGTGAGTGCAGTGGTGGTGGTGGGAGCCTCTCCTGCCTCTGCGGCAGCGCTAAGGATGTCCCACTGACAGCTTAGGCCCGGCCTAAGCTGTCAATGGGATATCCCCCAAGGGTTCCCGGACTGTGAGAGGGCACAGGCCACGCTGAGGGATCCCCCCCCTCACCAAGTGCACGAATTTCGTGCACCGGACCTCTAGAAAGTATATAAATTCTTTGGTTAATCTCTTCTCCCCACAACCCCACATCAAGGTTTGTCAGTCTGTTCCATGCTTCCATGGTTCGGGTCTTATTTTGTTGGTCCATTCATTTTGTTCATTTGATTCCACAACTAAGTGAGATCATGTGATATTTGTCTTTCTCAGTTTGGCTTATTTCACTTAGCATAACATTTCCCAGGCCCATCCATGCAATGCTGTGCAGCTGTAAAAAAGAGGGATCCCTTTTCCTCGCCTTGGCCTTTAACGAGAGTGTGTGTCTCTGTTTTCCTAGTTGTTACAGACGGCCGTGTACAAACCGGCTGAAGCACTGCGAGCCGGGCCTCGCGTTCAGTGAGGAGGTGTGTCGCTGTGTGCCCGCGTACTGGAAGAGACCACAGTGAACTGAGATGGGACTGTTTCCCGGCGTCCCGTTTCTGCCAGGGCAGACTGTGCTGCCCCTTTAAAACTGTCTGTGGACAGAGAGACGTGTGTGGGGCCACGGCGACAGAGACAGCGGTCGGTGGGTGTTTCCCGAGCCACGTGGATAACGTCACGGAAACGGGCCCCAGCTCATCTGCAAAGACCTCTTATAAACACTGGTTTTCTGCCAAGGACCGAACAGCCGAGGTTTTTCTGTTGTGATTTAAAAAAAAATGACTATATAATTTATTTCCACTAAAAATATTGTTTCTGCATTCATGTTTATAGCAATAACAATTGGTAAAGCTCACTGTGATCAATATTTTTATATCATGCAAAATATGTTTAAAATAAAATGAGAATTGTATTATAAACTGCTGAGTGGGGCCTATTACCATCTTCCGTTCTAAGTAGAACTTGATATTATGAACCATTCACCCCCCACCCTTTTTCTTTTTCTCTAAGCAGATGTCAGACTGGGCTTGTGATAAAAATCTAAACCTACAAAAGAAATGTTCACAAGGATAACAGTTGCTATTACATTTTAATCTCAACATTTTCATGAGTATAAACATTTTAGCACATGATACTCTTGAATTTATAACCAAATGAATCGATAAAGAACATACCATCTAAAAAGGCGGTCTGCTTATTAACATCCATGTGATGGAGTTATTCCGGGCATCGGGAGCACTTGGACTTCTAACTCTGGGTGTGATCTCTCTCTGGATCTGGTGAGTCATTTTTAGTATTGATACATTTTTAAATACATTAATTTTTTAGCTCATGCAAAAAAAAGTATATCTAAGTTTTGAATGAGCCCCTATGTAACTTGATACAACAGCTGTTATAAGTTATCAGCTTAAAAGTCATCTAAACTATGTGTTGACAATTAGTTTCTCAGAAGATATGGGTAAGCCAAAAAACCACTGGGCCAAATATTAAAGCGCGAAGCATGCCAGAAAAAAAGACATTTGACTTGTCCCTGGAGATGTAATCATTTTGGCCAAAAGCAGAAGTAACATGGGCAAAGACAAGACCTTGCCAGTGGTACTCAGACAAGTTTATATGGACCATAAAAACTTCACTTCCCTCCATGGTAATAACTGAGATTTTGTGGTGCCAGCTAAAGAGGTGGACTGGAGAGAAAGCTAAACAATTCTGTGGAGTATTAGCAAGACTGACTCAGCAGAAGCTAAAAGAATCAGCGAAAATGCCCATAAACTGGCCTCGAGCCTCCAGACCCCAGGCGGGCAATCTGCAGGACGAAGACGAGAAAACACTGGGCGTTTGAGGCACCAGTGTCTACATGGCCATCTTGGAAGTTTGTACACAGAATTGTATGCCCTGAAACCTAATGCTGTGTCCTTAGTTGAAAAGACTCGAGGGGAAAGAATATTTTTTAAGCAGTTGTATAAGCTCTAGCTTCCAGACTTTTTTTTTTTGGAAAGGGGTTTTGACATTGGCTGACTGATGGAATGAAACAGATTCCAGTATTAGAATTTCTAAAAATAGCTTTGTTCTCTACATCCACGCTAACTCCAAACAGAAGTGTGGGTGGCGGCCACGAGACGGCCCGCACTGGCATACCCAGGGTGCATCTCTCCGAGGGAGGCAGGCAGGGCCGGCTCTGTCTTCCTCTGGGTGGAGACCCAGCTCCGAAGGACTAGTCCCAGTGGGTAAGAGGGAAGCAGATGCACAGGCGAGGCTGAGATGGCAGCCGGTGCTGTAGGGCATGGCCAGTGGCCACGACACTCCCACGTGGGGAAGGTCATGCTCACCTCGCAGGGGGTGCCACGCTTCTGCGCTTTCACTGGCAGGTTTTTCAAGGGCTGCTGTTTAGGGACTTTGCCTTTTGAACTGAAGATGAGCATAGCCAATCACTTCGCTATCGTAGAAGAGAGACATTGGCGAGTCTGGTTTTTATGCTGATAAATTCTAGAAAGTTCTGAATCAATCCAATTATTGTATCAAAACAAATGCCTTCAGTACACCCGAACACTGTTTGAGGGAGTCAGTGATACTTTATAAATTAATACCGGTTTTCTCTGTCCTTGAAGTTTTTGTATATGGGATACTTTTTTAAAGGGGGTAATTGTTAACTTGCATAAGTGCAGTTGGAAGGTTAGAGGGGTTGAGGGTTTGGAAATCTCTCTAAAAACCAGAGCTTCACACACACTTTTCTCTTCGCTCCACAGCTAACAAGCCGGTGCTGGGAAAAGCCCGGGAATGGAGGGACCCTGGCGGGAACCCCAGCAGGTCCTTATCCTGACTCCTCGGCGAGTGCAGCTTCATCTCAGGAAGGAGCGAGTGGAGCTAAATGTGTGTGAAGCTCCGCCTTTTAGAGAGATTTCCAAACCCTCAACCCCTCTAACCTTCCAACTGCACTTATGCAAGTTAACAATTACCCCCCTTTAAAAAAGTATCCCATATACAAAAACTTCCAGGACAGAGAAAACCGGTATTAATTTATAAAGTATCACTGACTCCCTCAACAGTGTTCGGGTGTACTGAAGGCATTTGTTTTAATACATAATTGGATTGATTCAGAACTTTCTAGAATTTATCAGCATAAAAACCAGACTCGCTAATGTCTCTCTTCTA